GACTTTGTGATGTCAACTTCTATGGTGGGAGACCACTGCTTTTATCTGGGTCTTCCTCTGATGATATCAGATGTTGACCCTGTCTGACCTTAGGCAGTCTGTTCGAGACTTCCAGGAATCTGCTGTCTGTGGCTGTCTCCTTCAGCTGTTAATCTAGCCACCCTGCACTCAGCAAGGCACCTTAGACAGCTCAGGGTGGGGCGGAGTCCCTCCTGGGGGCGGGGTTGTTGGGTCCTTTCATGCTGCTGCCGCCGTATGGGGGTGGAGTCCGCACCGGGATCTTGCCAGCTACTCTCTCAGTTCTCTCCCTGAAGCCTCAGTCGCCAGTCTCTCCTCGAGTGTCGCCAGTCCTCTCTGAGTCCCCTTTTGCCAGGGATCTACTGCTTGTGGCTGCCACTCTGCACTCAGCAGGCAGCTTAGACAGCACAGGGTGGGGTGAATCCCACCTAGGGGCGGGGCAATGGGGTCTTTTGACTCTGGTGCCGCTCAGGGGGAGTGGTCTCAGCCTGAGCAAAATGGCTGCTGCCGCATGGGGGTTGAGTCAGCAATGAGATCCTGCTGGCTACTTTCTCAGTTCTCCCCAAAGCCTCCTTCCCTAGTCTTGTCATGTGTCTCTAGCCCACTCTGCCCCCGCCTTTACCTGGGACCAGGGTAAGTGGCTGCAAATAAAAATTTTGCATTGGCCCTATAGAAGTTTCTTTGTGTCTCCAGCTACCTGTCTCTGGCAGAGAGCAACCCTGCTGCTTTTCACAGCTGGCTGTTTTCTGTGTACTTTTGGGGCTCTGGTGCTGTGGGCTAGAGATCCCTGATTTTGGTTTAGACCCTGCTCTTCTCAGGGGGATCCAACTGGTCAATTCAATATCCTTCTGGTGCTGCCACCTGTGGGCACCCCGCCTGCCTTCTTAGGTCTGTACCACACTCTTTACCAGTTAGGTTGTGCTAAAGCTGATTCTCTGTCTCCGAGGTTACAAGGCTCCTCTCTCGCTATTGTTCAGTTGTTTGTTTCAGGTGATTTCTCCACAATTTAGTTGTATTTCCAGATTGGTCCTGGGAGGAGGTCAGTGTGACTTCCACTCACTCCTCTGCCATCTTGACTATTATTTTTTATTATTTTTAAATTATTTTTTATTATTCTTCAAGTACAGTTATCTCCATTTTCCCACCACCACTTTCCCCTACTCCATGCATCCTCACCTCCCACCCTCAATCCTTCTCCTCTTCGACTTTTCCATGGGTCCTTTATACATGTTCCTTGATGACCCTTCCTCTTCTTTCCCCTGGTATTTCCCTCCCCCTGTCCCTCTGGTTACTGTCAGTTTTTTCTTTATTTCCATGTCTCTGGTTGTAGTTTGCTTGCTTGTTTGTTTTACTGATTAGATTCCACTTACAAGTGAGCTCATATGGTATTTGTCTTTCATGGCCTGGCTTATTTCTATACAATTTCTTTATTTCTTATAGGATTAATGTGGGGATCATCTTCTCTTCTAGATTATGTCTTTCTTATCTTCATTCCTTCATTCTTTCATTTCATCCTTCCTTTTTTTCTATTTTCAAGTAACTAATTTGGTCATTTTTCTCTAAATTTCCACTTTGGATATTATTTTCATATCTATACTCTTAGTTTGGGTTTTCTGAAGGATTTAAAACTCAGACACTTAATAAAGGAATGTCTGGTTGAAAGGACGATTATATCAGCAGATGTAGCAAACATCATGTACTATCTTATCTGATTAGTCATGGAGAAGCATAATGAACAGGAAGGCAAATGCAAAAAGTTATCAGAATATTACTTGGGCTAACTCGCAGCTTTTGCATCCAAGTTTGGATCACATTAAATTTCAGTTTACTTTCAGGCCTCTGATTCCTGGAAGTCAGGTTTATAAAACTAGTCATCGTCTAATCCTTGTATGTATTTAGCCATACAACTAATGACTGTTCTATGGAAAAGTCTTTTCCATTTCTGTGCTGATAAAAAGCCCCACCCTTTTATCTAGTGCTAATAACTGCATTTGGTGTATTTTCTCTTTCTTCTTTATTTTCCCTTTCCCACTCTCCCTGTCTGCTCCCTCTCTTTTTTTCTTTCTTCCTTCCCCTCCTCTGCCTTCCTTTTTCTACTCAGTTTCCCTTTCATTTACCTATTCCTTCTCATTAATGCATTGTCTTTTAAAATTTAACCTACAAAATGAATTTGACCAGAAACTGTCCTAATTCTATATTAGTTTGGCTATTCAACAGACATAAGAATGAGGATTTTTAATATATGTCTTTATTCTTTTATTAGAGAGACTTAAGGTGACAGCTATATTCTTTTTCTAAGATTATAAAACTTATAGAGAAAAGAAAACTTTTTTAAAAATTCAGTTATTCGAGCATTTGGTAAATATCACGTGTAAGATCTGGGAATTTAGGAACATATGTATGATTTGTAAATTTTTTTGACTTTTCATTCACCTGTTTGACTTCTGCTATGATCTTTTCATTCATAATTAATATATTAATTAGTTCTTTAATAATTTTGGGTGTACCTGCTATATGCAAAATACCATGCTAAGTATTACGAGTACAGAAATAAATTAGACATAGTCCCTCCCCTCAATAACTTACAGCAATATAGGGGACACAGATAAGTAAAACCAATACACTGTAGTTCAGTGAGGAAAATCATCAACTGAGGAAAGCACAAGATACAATTAAGACATAAGTAATGATCTCTTCCTGGGGCTTGAGGAAGAACTCTCAGAGAAGCCCCTGAAGGTGTTGTGAAAAACAAATGACAAAGTTCTGCCTTTGGAAAATGTTTGTATTTATTTCAGTAACATCGTGGTCCATTTTACTGATCACATTTAAACAGTTGGAATAATAAATATAATATTTGTCAGTCTTCTACCTCACTTTAAACATGTCTTATAAGTTATGAGAAAAATTACAAAGGAAAAACCTTAACCTAGTAGGGATTAACTATTGTGGCTGCCACAGGTCTTTGGCTTTTAACTTCTTCCCTCCTTTTCTGTTTGACTCCAATACTCCTTTCTGCATTTCACTTCCAGTAACGGTCCTGCTACCACTCCAACTCTCTAAGCTACCCTTACACGAGTGGGGATGAATATTTCTCCTTCATTTCAATCAAGACAAGTTACAGAATTCCCCAAGAGGAATGTAGAATACTTGTCCTGAAGTGTCTTTAGACAGAATCTAGTGTAAAAATGGGTGCTTAAATTACATGTATAGCCCCTGTCAAATGGTCACTATGCATCTGGATAGTTGCATAGACCCCTGTTACAGGAATCTTACTATTATCAAGAAATTCTATTGCATCTTTAATACATATAGGATGAAATCTCTTCAATACTTATTAAGAAACATGCAAAAATAAGCAAATAAAGAAATGCATAAGGTGCTTAAGTGGAAAGAAGCAAAACTTAAACTGTTAAATGTGCACTAAGTGCACACTTTTATTCATTTTATTTAATACTCACTCCCACTATGTTCTGCTCTTCAGTAAACAAATAAGCAAGCAAACAAAGAAAAAAGTGTGGTGATGAACAAAAATGTTGTATACTTACTGAATATTTAGTGTGTGTATGTTTTGCTCCTCTGATTTGCATTCCTTTTGTATTTCCCTTTTTTTTTCTTTTTTGCTTTAATTTTGTAAGGGTAGGTAAGAAAGGTGAGATTGTTGGCAAAAGAATTGTTAAAACTTTAACAATTTTCTTCCTCTGAGACTGTTAGGTTTTTCCTACAGGCATTTATTATATACAATTGATTGCACAATACGTCACACACACACACACACACACACACGCAAAAGGAAAGGAAAGGGACAAAAAGTAAAGTAAAGGGAAAGCAATAAAAGAGGAGAGGAGAGGAGAAGGGTGTGAGGGGAGGGGAGGCAAGGGAGATGAATAGCATGAGAAAGGAATTTAGGATGGCTTTTTTTTTTAACTTCAAAATATCTACTAATTTGAATTTACATAGAAGGAGAAGAGATCGAAAGAGAATGTTTATGAAGTGTAGAAGATAAAGACAGAGGAAAGTTTCAGTCCAGTGAACAATGTAATTCATTTCAATTCTAGCAGTATTCCCAAAGCAGCTATTAGAGAGCTGTTGTCCATTAATAAACTGGGTACAGAATGAAGACCAACCAAAAGAGAATTGGATACACTACTTCTTCACAATTTTTATTCTATCCTGTCTATGAGTTTTTCCTCCTCAAGAACTAACAAATCCAGCCAGAAAGAAGTGGTAGGTATTTTAAATCAAAGATACAAAAAATAAACTCTCCCTTTAATTTTATTCTAGATGTAATTTCTTCTGGTTTTACAGAATCTAATAGTATATACTGTATGTATGTATATATGTATATATACACATAGCTTTTCATTTACTTACATCTTAAAACAGTTGATTTTTTTTTTTTTATGTGCCCCAGGCATGAACCAGCTCTGGCCACCAACACAGGCAACAAGCTAGGATGAACTAAGGACTGTACAACTGCTTTGCCCCTGACTGATATAAGAGCAACACCACTCATCAGGTGTGTCCTTGCCCATTGCCAAGGGGTTAAAACAGTTGGTTTTAAATATGTTGTTTTTATAACTGCAATTCTGACTTTTTACCAAGCCAGCTTACTTCCCTCAAACACACAAACATTGCCTAGTAAACTCCAGTCACTTTTTTTCCAGAGTTAAAAAACAAAAATGCCCTAGTTTTCTCCTTACTAAGACAGGAAGCATTTCCTGGAGCTTAATCACTATTTTGACTTGCAAATTTTGGAAAGGTTGAGAGAAATTAGTGAAGTAGCTTGTATCATCCTATTTTGGATTTGGAATTTTTGGAAATGGTCCTGTTCTTCAGATGACAGCAATCATGAGTCAAGCTGTGGGTGATCTAAACAAACATCGCCACCCTATAAAAAGCTGGACTCCAGAGGTTGGACCTAGAAGAAGGTAGGCAAAGAGCAAGGCATTGAGACAACACAGATCATAGTGAAGCCAGTAGAAATGAAGGCTCTTCCTGTACTACTGCTGCTGTGTGTGGCAGCTGGCTCGGCCTATCCGTTGAATGGAGCTGCACAGGACGAGGACAACAGCATGGAGCTGGTTCAGGTAATTAAGGGAGGCAGCCTTCACACTCATTCACTGGGCTAAGTGGGGAAACCATTTCTGCTTCCCGGTCACAAAACTCATGCAGAGTGATTGGAATTACTGGGCAGGAATAGTTTAAGAACAGAAAGTTATAAAGTGTTGGATGTGGAAAGGGTCTCCCTATCACACATTATTCAGGCTCCTCCTTTCATGTAGGAAGAACAGAGGCCAGATATATTAGGTGTTTTTCTAAGATCATAGACACCATAGTAGGGAGAGTGTAAGAAATGTATCTTGCTTTTGAATTTCTTTAGCAATTTTTTCCTTTTTTAGTGAAAAAAATAGTCAAATGTAACACATAACGTATGTATGAGAACCCTGCCTATGTGAGAGATATAGAGGCCCCACATGCACGAGGGGTTCAGATATAGAAAGGGGATTGAGCTATATAAGACATTCTGAGCGAGGGATGAGGTATGCACCTGGGGAACTTCAAAGCGTCATTGAAGGATGATAAGAGAAGTTTAGTAAATAAAATTTTGCCCTGACTTATAGTGGGGTCAAAACTGGTAATCCCTTACAGGCAAGGCCTCTAATTCAATTTTTTTTAGGCAATTAAGGGTGGGGAGCGGCAAAGTTTTCTCCTGAGCCTGTGGCTAACATTGCCTTTAGCTCAAAACAACCAATGTATCACAGAGGGAAATCTTGGGGTGACTTGTTCTGGATCTTCTAATGGAAACTTCTTTAGGAATTTATACCAAGGTAAGATTAGCTAGATTTTTATGTTGCTAGTGTCATGTTTAGACAGAGGGATTTGTCCATTTTCTTAAACCAAGTCCTTATGAGACACATAAAATAGAAAATTGAGGAAATTGAATAAGTGTACAATTTTATACTGAAATGTACAATTATGCCCAAAGAAGTTTTTTTCTCCTTTAAATTGACTAGATATTTATTTAAATTTTCTGCTTCTTTTCAATTGTTTTTGTAGGAAACTAAGCTGTACAGATTATTTAGTTACAAAGATAAAACAAAAGTGAAATCTGTAATTAAAACATTAAATATATCTCACTTATTTTTATTTCAGCAAATTGGAGGAATACTTCAAGTAGATTAAGTAGGCAACTGTACAAATGTACTATAAAAGCCTAAAAAATCATAAGAAAGACCTAAAAACTGTACTTATTATTCCAACAGCACTACCTAGAAAAATATTACAACCTCGCAAAAGAAGTGAAACCATTTGTTAGAAGAAAGGACAGTAGCCCTGTTGTTAAAAAAATCCAAGAAATGCAGAAGTTCCTGGGGTTGGAGGTGACGGGGAAGCTGGACCCAGACACGCTGGAGGTGATGCACAAGCCTCGGTGTGGAGTTCCTGACGTTGGAGGCTTCACTACCTTTCCTGGCATGCCGAAGTGGGGGAAAACTCACCTTACCTACAGGTAACGGGTCCCAGGAGCTTCACATAATACTGAGAGTACACACACTATAACCTCAAGAGAAAATATTACTTTCTTTCATTGTTCTCATACAGGATTGTGAATTATACACTGGATTTACCAAGAGAAGCTGTTGATTCTGCCATTGAGAAAGCTCTGAAGGTCTGGGAGGAGGTGACCCCACTTACATTCTCCAGGATTTATGTAGGAGAGGCTGACATAATGATCACTTTTGCAGTGAGATGTAAGAAACACACACAAAAAATGCAATGCATCCATTTACCTGGTGATGTTTTATTAGAAAAGTTTCCAAAGAGACTCTAATTACCCATCTTTCCAATAATTTTCTTTTTTTGTCTGTTAGATCATGGAGACTTTTACCCTTTTGATGGACCTGGGAACGTTTTGGCTCATGCCTACCCACCCGGGTCGGGGATTTGGGGAGATGCCCACTTTGATGATGATGAACAATGGACAAAGGATACATCAGGTTAGTTACACATCTCAAAGTGATTTTGTTTTTTTTTTCCATATTTGGGAAATTATTAATAACTAAGAATATTTAAGAAATGGCTTGCTTTGTATTTCCCAATGGGTGAAGGTCCAGCAGAATGTATTTTGTTTTAATCATTACTAAAAATGTTTTCAGATGTATAAAAAGTTCATTCTCTGTCTTGGTAAGTACAATACAGGAAGCATCATTAAGCATTTCTTTGATGACTCTAGTTTTTGTGTGATCTTGGAACTATCATTAAAAACAATTTCTCACATCAAATTGTAGATATCCAATTTGTAGTGTATTGTATTGAATATACACTAACATGTGCCTTGGATATTGCTTATATCCTATGGGGAAAAATTTCCCCCAATTATACATTTTTACTATCTAAACAGAAATAAGAATTAACTTCCATAAACTGAGCTTTCAGTTTAGGTTTTTCTGGTTAGAATAACATTTCACTCTCTCTAGGTTAAGAAGGGCTATTATGGACTTGTTCTGAAAGAAAAAACTAAACCCCCTAAAAAAGTCAAAACTCTTTAAGGTAGAGAAGAATGTTTCTCGGTTTATACCTGCATACAAATAGTATCACCTCTGAAATTTAATTGGGATTTATAATCAAAATATAAACAAAATCCCTATAGAGAGTACAAATGTGAGGTTAGTTCTGGATAAAATTCTTTGTTTGATTGGATTAGCAACTTCTTCCTTCAAAAGAAACATTCCTGCAAAGTCTCAAATGAAAATTTTAAAATTGAATTACTTGATATTTCTATCATAATTACCTAATGCCTTCCAATTTCAGCATTCTAATTTATTTTTATTATATGGAGAAAAATATCTAAGTATAGCTAGTGTTTTTGTGGCCAAAATCTCTTCTGTGACTAATGCTAGACAGGTCGGGCATGTCATGTTTTAGACCAATCTTACAAATCCTATGACATCTACCATTATTAATATTTTTGGACCTAATGAGTATTGAATAATCTTCATGGGGCTGAAAAATGATGCAGGCAGTATTCCTATGGCAAATAACAACAGTAAGATTGTTTAAGGGTTTCAGAATTGAGATGAATAAACTGGGATTCATTTAATTTAGACTAACCAATAATTGGCGATACATTAAAACAGTATTTAGCGTTTCATTGACAAATGAAATGTTTATTGATGTGCTAAACCAGTAGGTTAATTCCATTCCAAGGTGCAATGAAAGGAACCTCATTCTCATGAAATTAATAGGCTCCTGAGAAGGGAATAGTTGGACATGGCTAGACAATTTATCTCAAATATTGATGTTAATAATTGACCTTGAAAAACATTTGGCTTTACATTAAGTGTAGATCAGTTAATTAATAAATTAACCAAAAACCAAGGCCAAAAAAAAAAAGTCCCGTGTGCTTCCAGGAAGTAAACAAATATAATACAGAGCTGATCTGCGTAATGTACATGTATTTAAGGAATAAGTAACTCTTATTTATGATTTCCTATGTAGGGACCAATTTATTCCTCGTTGCTGCTCATGAACTTGGCCACTCCCTGGGTCTCTCTCACTCAGACAACACTAAAGCTTTGATGTTCCCAATCTACAACACATTCACAGACCTGGCCAGGTTCCGCCTTTCTCAAGATGATGTGAACGGCATTCAGTCCCTGTATGGTGAGTGATGCTGGGAAAATTAGGCCTTGCAGCCTTGCAACGACGGTCTTCAGGAAAGTTTGAAAATGCTTCATAAAGCTTTTGCAGCCAGCTCAAAGAACTTTAAGAATGTTTGGGAAGAATATGCATTGATAGAAGCATCACATTTCTCCTAATGTTTGCATCCTTTCACATCTGTTCTCTTTAGGACCTCCCCCTTCTTCCCCTGATGAGCCTGTGGTGCCCACAGAATCTGTACCTCCTGAAACACCAGCCATGTGTGACCCCGCTTTGTCCTTCGATGCAGTCAGCACTCTAAGAGGAGAATTCCTGTTCTTCAAAGATAGGTCAGAGCAGAAACATATTTTCCATCTATTCTTTTGGTGTACAATGTTTAGAAATAAAAACGAACAGAAACTTGATATAGGTTTTTAAATATTTCAAACAAAAATAATTCCTCTGAACTGAAATTTCTCTCATCTGGTGCTCCAATTCCTACATTTTCCTAAAATTGGCAACTTCGTTTTTTAAGCTTTAGATAGCATGATTTCATTCTTGTCCTCTAATTGTTCCCAAATTTTATAAATCATGGTTGGTTTTCAAAGGGCACAAGTAGAACTTTAAAATTAGAATTTTGTCTCCACCTCCTTAAAAAATGACACCAGAATAGCATTACATTTAATCAATTAATTTACTCACTACTGGATAGATATGCACATGATAAAACAATTGAACTGCACAAATGGGAAGAATGTTTAAAGAAAATCCTCCTTGCATTATTAACTCTTAGTTCCCCAGTTCCCTCCATCTTCATTCACAGCCAAAGACCCTTGCTTATCTTTCCAGAAATGTTCTGTGCACATACAAAAATATGCTTACATCCTCCATGTACTTAACACACACATCTGCCTATCTTTTTGACAATGTAAAAGATGATATAACATATACACTCTTTTATATCAGTTTTAGGTATTTAAAGTTTACATTCAGCTAATTAACTTGCATTTCAGGATCACTTGTTTCATAGAAGATGTTACTCTATAATCTTACAGCAAGAGAACAAGGGCAGTTTTCTAAAGAAAAAAGAAAAACATTTTCCCAGGGGCAGTATACCTGATTTCTGCCTGTCATCAAGTCTAGAGAATAAGGGAATGGGGAAGATCGGTGAGATAAGACAATGAGGAAAACACACTAAAGATGAAAGACTGTTTTTAATTTTTATTTCTTTTTACATATATTTCAGGCATTTTTGGCGCAGATCCCTAAGAACTCTTGAACCTGGATTTTATTTGATCTCTTCCTTTTGGCCCTCTCTTCCTTCAGGAGTGGATGCTGCATATGAAGATACTAGCAAGGATATTGTTTTCATGTTTAAAGGTAATTATTATATAATAATTTCCTGAACTTATAGAAATAAATCCTCTCACAGGAAAATTGAATAGGACTTTAATATTTTCTTTTGTACCAAATTCAATCTACTTTATTACTCTAAGGTAATGAAGAAATGACTGAAACTGGTATTGTTTTATTTATATATTTTATAGATGATAAAAATGAACACAATAATATAAATTGCTTTAGAGTTGTATATTCCCTCATTTGATCTGTGCTCATTCATTCAGTGAGTGAATTTTTGTTAAATGCCCACATTGAGCTGGTGGCTAAATCTAAAATTCTAGCTTCATCTTTACTGTAAAATCAAAGGTGCCAAAAAGTCTTTCTAAAGACCAAAGGCTTAGCTGTTATAAATTCTATATGACTTTGAATTGTTTTTTTTTAACAGGAAATCAGTTCTGGGCCATCAGAGGAAATGAAGTTCAAGCAGGTTACCCTAGAGGCATCCAAACACTGGGTTTTCCTCCAACAGTCAGGAAAATAGATGCAGCCATTTTTGATAAGCAAGAGAAGAAAACATACTTCTTTGTAGAGGACAAATACTGGAGGTAATATGCAATTGAAATGACTTTGTATGGAGCTGAATTAGGGAAATCATTTTCTTTCTCTAAGGAAATCCCCTGCCTCACTCAGTTCTGCTTCCCTCTCAATAGGAAGATGGGGCTTTAGGCCATTGTGGGGGAAGTGTTTACTTACAGGGGTGTCCAAACTGTAGCCTGCGGGCCACATGCAGCCCAGGATGGCTGTTAATGTGGCCTAACACAAAATTGTAAATTTACTTACAATGGTATGAGATTTTTTTTTTTGTGATTACATGTCTCAAAGTATTTAATGTGTGGCCGAAGACAACACTTCTTCTTCCAGTGTGACCCAGAGATGCCACAGGGTTGGACGCCCCAATAGTAGTGCTTGGTAACAGGCATTTCATAAGCTCTTCTGTTCTGAGCCCCAGGTACACCAGGAGGGAGCTTCCTTTTGTGCTGTTGCCTAATCTGCCAGAGGTGCCCTTTCCACTCATCCACCTACCCAAACCCCACCCATGCTCAAGTCCTAACTCAAGTCCCACCACTTCCATGAAGCTTTTCCTGCTGGACTCTAAACCTAAATGGGCTTTTCTTTTTTGAAAGAAGCCCCGAGAATCCAGGCCAAAATTTAATGTTCCTTAAAGATGTCTTAAGGTCTACTTATTGTTGTGTTGGGTGTTTGTCTTGTCTTCCCAACTTTACTATATGATTCTCAAGAGCTTCCTTTAACCTCACCCACTCATTATGTCTGCCTGTTTCAGAGGAAAATGAGCAGAGACAGTGTAGTTTCATGCAGAGAGCCCAAGATTCACAGAGAGACCGATTCGTAGTCAACTGCTGAGACTCTGAGACATCTGAGCAGAATATCCAAGGTCTAGTTAATAAGTCCCAAATGCATTTCTTGTGCTTCCCTTCTCATTCTAATCCCTTTTTTTTTAAGAGAATGCCATAGGAAATCCAGTTGTGCAGGGTGGGGAGGGTGTATACGATGCCCCAGATATGATTGAGAACTTGAAATTTGTATTTGAAATACATAATTCAACACACTTTATAATCTGTTCCCATCTTCATGTCTTTGTGATAGAAAAATGATGAAGGTTCTTTTTGCCTATGCTTAAGAAATATAATAATAAGCAGCATCTTCTAGATCAAAATGTTGCCTCTGTTCCAGGTGAAAATATAGTTTAAGAGCTAAGTTTGCAGTTACACTAACGTCACATATTTCTGTAGTGATAAACATGTTTGACATTTATTCACAGTACTTGGAAAGTTTACTAGAATTCTACCTTAAAAAGAACATGATTTAAGAATTTTGGTAACATGGCTTCTAGGCAATGCTGAGTTGCATTCATTTATTTGGTGCAGATTTGATGGGAAGAAACAGTCTATGGACCCCGGATTTCCCAGGCAAACAGCGGGAGACTTTCCAGGGGTTGACTCAAAGGTGGATGCTGTTTTTGAAGCATTTGGTAAGAGGATACTTATTTTGTTGGCAATGGGGTGCTTGAAATATTTTATGGTATCAGAAGGAAGATAATTAAAAAGTTTTAATAATAAGTTTTCTTTAACCAATTCTCTCCCTCTCCCTAAATTCAAATTTATCAATTTTTAACCAGTTATACAACCACCTCATATAATTAGTTGTTTTGAATCATGAAGATATTTAACACAAATCTCTCTACTTTACTTTATATATTCAGATAAAATCAAAGTTCTCAAGTGTTACTTCCTTACATCTAGAGCTATTACCCTTCAAATTCCCATGTCAGTATAAAAATCCCCTCATGTGGGGTGTCCAAACTTAATTCCAGCTGGCTGGTTTCTCCTCCACTCTGTGCTGTAACTGCTACTAATTCCCAGGGAGATATTGTCTACATTTCCTAAATAGTCAGTTGCAAATATTTATGTTCCCACGTACACAAGGTTTTTAAAAGATTTTTTTTTTCCTTCTCAAGGATAGATGGGTGGAGGCTGATGATCTTGGTTGTGGAGTAACCAGAGCACCATGAGGGCAGAGCCCGACAGGTCCTCTATGCTTCTCGAAGACCAGAAATGCCCCACAGGGTGCAATGTAGGGAAAGGCAAGGGGGAGTATTAGGAAGAATGAAAATAAAGAGATCATGATTTTCTGAAAGGTAGAGACTTTTATCTGCTTGGAAGCAGAATAACCTAATAACCCAGAGTCTGGCTTTGCTACCTGACAGAGCTGAAATAGAATGCTTTCTCCTCTTTTCCTCATTGAATGACTTTGAGCAAGCATTTAAATCTCTCCGAACCTCAACTTGCTCATCTGTAAAATGGAGCTAGCTGCACTTACCTCAAAGGACTGTTGTAGAAATAAATGAAAAAAAAAAACAAACCATATAAAATGTTTAACACTTAATCTCTGGCACATAGTAAATTCTATAAACCCTTTCCATTTCTATTTATCTATTATTCTGAGTTTAGTATGTTGCCAAATTTATGTATTTGAAAAAAATGCCTCACTATTTCCCTTGTCTGTATTTGCAGGGTTTTTCTATTTCTTCAGTGGATCTTCACAGTTGGAGTATGACCCAAATGCAAAGAAAGTGACACATATTTTGAAGAGTAACAGCTGGTTTAATTGTTAGGAGAGATATGTAGAACACACAATATGGACGTTTTAAATGAAGCTAATAGTTCTTCATCTAAGTCTTTGTGAACTGCAGTGATGAATTTTTGCCCACATACACTGTGCCTAAGAAAGCGAGAACGGGCTCTGCATCTCACTAGTCAGCCTCACAAGAAGCACAGGGTGCTCACACCCACGCTGAGCTTGCGCTTGGGTCATGTGGAGCAGAGGAGAAGGGGGAGGCACTTGTGTACAGTAGACAAGGGATTGTATATAAATTATTTACTTGTTATTTAATAAAGAAGGTTTGTCAGTTATTTTATTGTTTTGTTTGTTTGTTTCAAGAAAAGGTTGTTCTCACAGTCTTGGGCACACTGTGGGCTGAGCAGTAGATAGCCGGAGACATCCAGCCACTGGAGATGGTAGGATGGGGTCTCCATGGCTGTGGCCTCACAGTGGCTCATCCAGAACTGAAGACAACTTATCACTTTCCCTCCCCAGGTGCCCTACAAACAGGATGTCTATTTTCACCACCCAGACATCATGTGTTCTGGATATACCCTAGCAGAAAGACCTGAGGCAGTTGTTACTTGGTAGGGCAGGGTCTGAGACAAAGTGTAAAGCAGAACCTTACATTTACAAGGGAGGACTCCCAGAAAATCATAGAATTTATTTATAAAAAATTGTGTATTTACTCTTATGTGTTCACACTTCCATCACTTTCAAAATATTCTCCATTTGATTCAATACACCTATCAACACATGTTTCCACTGCTCAGAACAGCTTTTGAACTCATTGATTTTGATGCTTTTTAGTGCTTTCTGCCTTTTTCTGTTGCACCTCTTCCACATCAGCAAAATGTTTCCCTTTGAGGACTTTTTTTCAGCTGGGGGAAAAAAAGTTGTTCAGGTTAAGATTAGGTGAATAGCGAGGGTGGGATATGGGGGTCATAACATTTTATGTCAAAAACTGCTGAAAACTCAGCATGGTATAAGCAGGTCTCTCATAAATCACCCATCACGAAATGGGCAAACAAATTCACTGAAGCTAAACGCAGTCTCTCACAACAATGCCAGGTGTACACCGATACAGATGGGTTTCTAGAACACTCACCTAGTGGGGAAAGACTGTACTACAAGAGGCCTGCCCACCAGAAGATAATTCTAGTATGTAAACATTTTTGTTGATTATATTCCTGTCCTTCATCTTTTCCTGTTACTTATATGTGCCCTTAATGGAGCCCCTTTCCTGCCATAGCAAACAAATTTGCTATGAAACCACTCTCTTGCCTCTGTCTCTGCTAGAAGTCTATGGGTAAATGCTTACCCTATGACAGATTTATTGCCCCTAAGTACCATGTCTAGAACGTCATCTGCTACACAGTAAAAACTCATCCAGTCTTAAACTTATTTAATAATTTGAGAATAATTAACCAATCACATTCTATGTGCCAGAGAACATGGTAAGTTGTAGGCATAGGAGTCTGAGAAAATGAACACAGCTCCTGTCTTCATTGAGATTATAATCCAGAAAATAGCAACAAACATGTATATACAATTGTATATTTTAAAAGATTTGTAAAGAAAACAATTGACTTCCTTGTTAGAAAAATAAGAAGTTTCACTTTGACATACGTGGTTTTAGTAGAAGTTTTGAGGGAATGACTTCAGAGCTTTTGAAGAGAGGTATGGAAACTAGGTGAAGGGATAGATGGCTTGGGCTATAGAGGTCACACTGGAGAGTCAGAGACAAGAATAAAAAGTATGTGTATGAGACCATAGGACTACATAATTGATTGGTATGGAGTTTAACAGAAAGGGAAGTGTCCAGAATAATTCCCAAATAGCTTCCTTGAGCATAAGGGTTGTGAGTGAGAGTTTTTACTGAGATGGGGAAAGACTTGGAGAGAAGTTTTGCGAGAAAAGGGTAGGAGGAAGAATTGCTTAGTTTTGCCAATTTTTGAAATGTCTGAGAGATATACAAGAAGGCCATAAAGTAAATGAGTCTGAAAGAGTAGATATAGTAACTACATGTGGTAATATATGTTAATTAAACTTACTGTGATAATCATTTTGCAATGCATATATACATTAAATCATTATGTTGTATACCTAAAAAAATAATACATGGCATATGTCAATTAAACCTCAAATTTAAAGAAAGAGAGAAGATATAAATTTGTGGAATTTGTCAGCATTTAATTGTTCTTAAAACCATGACTATGAAAGAGACCATATGGGAGATTTTAAGATGGAATTTTAATAATACTCTGCCAGGAATTATATATTTACATATTAAAAAATAAACTAAATTTATTTTGTTTATTTTATGATAGCTACTATGTAGCCACAACACAAATTTAAAAGATAAAAAACATCATACAATATTAACTTTCTTCACATTCCTGTCACTACCAACCACCACCTAGTTGTTTTTCTCAGAGGCAACCAAGTAGATTCTTCTGGATCCCTTCAAAGCTATTTCATACATACACAAGCATTAATATCATCTTTTGAAATTAAAATGCTAGCATGCAAATTCACACTGCGCTCCTTGTTGCTGTTTTCACTCAGTATTTCTTGGCTACCATTCCACATTATTACATGTAAAATTGCTTCACTCTTTCATTGACTGCATTCTATGAAAAAAAATATGGAATTTATTTACTCAGTCTCCTACTGGTGACTAAATTAGTAATTAAATAAAAGTACATGTCAAATAAAATTTAAAGATACAAATAATCAAAAATAAATATAATAAATATATGAACTAAATATAAATATTTATTATAATAATTTAATAATATATAAAATATACATTTGAAAACTACAGGATATATTTTAAATAAAAATAATTTAAAAAATCAAATGAAATTGTGTGCATCAGTAGATTATTTTCAGTATTCAGTATATCAGTAAGTTATTTTCAGCATTTTACTATTGTCCCCAATGCTACAATGAATATCCTTGAGCACACTTGCAGATCTGATGTAAAGTTTAACCTTCAAAAATTAAGTGAGATGGAGGAGCAGGAAAATTATCTGCTGGATTCTCCAACATACAGCCCATTGGATGCTCTTTACAACAGCAGCATTGGTGGAGAGAGAGAAATGAAAGATTGAAGTGGGTAGAAATATTCTAAGTTAAAATGCTTTTGATTATAGGTAGACAGAAAAGCTACCTAAAAATAAAAAAAGTTTATCAAAATAAAATAAAATTTAAAATATTATCAAAAACAGAAAAGACAAGTGTTGGCAAGAATGTGTAGAAAAGGGAATCCTTCATGTGTAAATTGGTGCAATCACAATGAAAAACACTATGGAATTTCCTAAAAAATGTAACAATAGAGCTACCATATGATCCAGCAATATCACTTCTAGGTATATATCTGAAGGAATGAAATCAGTATCTCAAAGAGATACAACACTCCCATGCTCATTGCAGCATTATTCACAATAGCTAATGCATAGAAACAACCTAAGTGACTGCCTGTGAATGAATGAATAAAGACAGACAATGTGATTTTATATATATGGTTAAGCCTTTAAAAAAAACATAAATCCTACCACTTTTGGCAATGTGGATGAAACTTGAGGTCATTATGCTAAGTAAATTAAGCCAGACATGGAAAGACAAGTACTGCATAATCTCACTTACATGTGAAATCAGTCAGACTTATAAAAGCAGAGAGTTTGAGGAGAACCAAGGTGGTGGAGGGGTAAGTGGAAGGTAAGCTAACCTCCCCCGAGGACCAATCTGGAATTAATTAAGGACCAATTACAACTAAATTGTAGAGAAATCATCCTGAATAACCAACTGAACACTGGCTGGAGAGAAACCTTATAACCAAAGATAGACAGAAGAAACCACTCCACCATAACGAGACTGGTAGGGAGTACAGAGCCATGGGAGGTCTGGCTGGGCTCCCACGGGCAGCAGCTGAAGTTCTTGAGGGATATTTCAGTGGCTGGTGGGTTCCTCCTGAGAAGTGTGGGGTCTAAACCCCAAGCAGGGCTCCTTGGCCTACAGCACCAGAGCTGGAAAGGAATCAGATAACATCCAGCTGTGAAAAGCAGCAGGGTTTCTGTCTGCCTTGGAGAGACAGCTGACTGAGAGCCTCTTAAAGAGCCAATGCACAAAATTTGTTCTGTAGCCACTTACCCTGGGCTCTAGCAGAAGGAGTGTAGAGTTGACTAGAGAGGCTTGAAGAGAGTCTGGAAATGGTGGCTGTGGGGAAAGCTGAAGGAATAGCCACCAGGATCCCTGTGCTGAGTCATTCCCCATACTGCAGAAGTCATCTTTCTCAGGCAGAGCACTCCTCTCTACATGGCATCAGCCTGAGGAGAAGCAATAGTCCTTCCCACAGGAATTACTCTGTTCTAACCTGTGGAGCTTAAGCTAGCTGTTGAATACAGCTTGAGGCTATATCACTGAGTAGTTTATAACTAAGGTGGATCTCTGGGAGCTCTATGAGACCTCAGCTACCCCTCTCCTGGGTTCTGTGCTGATAAAAGTCAGCCTAAATGTACAGTCTGATTCTTTCTGCACACAAAGAGGACCAGCACAAGGAGGCACATGCTGTGGATCACTGATAGCTCTACACAGGTTGCCCAAGGCCACTCACAAGCAGTGTCTGACAAAGGCCTACACCAGAGTCTTTGCATATCTACCTAATACACAGAAACAAACATAAGAAGCAGCCAAAATTAGAATGCAAAGAAACAGGTCCCAAATGAAAGAACAAGAGAATTCTCCAGAAGAAGAGCTAGATGAAATGGAGGAAAGGAAATGATCAGATAGAGAGTTTAGTGTAATGATTATAAGGATACTCAACAACATGAAAAAAGACATAGAAACCATAAAAAAAGGACCAGTCATGAATAAAGAATGCAATATTTGAAATAAATAATACACTGGAAGGAATAAACAGTGTGTTCCTTCTGCTTAGATGAAGCAGAAGATCAAATCAGTGATTTGGGAGACAAGGTGAAAAAAACACCCAGGCAGAGCAGCAAAAAGAAAAAAGAACAATAA